AATGTGATATAGTAGGGGGTGCATTCGACCCCCTACGCGTGTGTATTAGGGGTCTATTACACCTATTTGTACGTAGTAAGGGGTGCATTTGACCCCCAACGCATCTTGTATGTGGATGCATTCGACCCCCTAATCGTGTCTTGTAGGGGGTGCATTCGACCCCCCACATGTGATACAACTGACCTCCTCATGCATCTGCATGGCCATGTTGTGTACACTATGCTCACTGCTGTTGTACATCAGAGCGTTGGACAACATCAGTAACACGTCGCGTTGGAACTCCGCTGTTGTACTGAAAAATTAAAAAAAAAGTTTTCTAACTATGAGTTAGTGAATCCATAATAGACATTCTGGTGTCAGAAACCCACGTTAAATTATGTACATGCTAGGAATAGGGCTATGTTTAAATTTAGTAAAACATATATATATATATATTATTTATATATTCATAATGAATCGATTCTGAGTCTTCAGTATGTTGCCTTTCAGTATTTTTTAATTTATTCCTAAGCATTTCATAACCAAATATAGTCTATTTCACTCAGAGATAATGTTTAAAGGTTAAAGAATTGTCAAAACTAGTCTAGAACTCGCCCCTGTTCTTCCTTTAACCACAGGAATTTGTTTAGATCACAGTGGTCAACTAAGACCACAGCGGTTAACTAAGACCACAGCGGTTAATTAAGACCACAGCGCTTAACTAAGTCCACAGTGGTTAACTAAGACCACAGCGGTTAACTAAGACCACAGCGGTTAACTAAGACCACAGCGGTTAACTAATACCACAGCGGTTAACTAAGTCCACAGTGGTTAACTTAGACCGCAGTGGTTAACTAAGACCACAGCGGTTAACTAAGTCCACAGTGGTTAACTTAGACCGCAGTGGTTAACTAAGACCACAGCGGTTAACTTAGACCACAGCGGTTAACTAAGACCACAGCGGTTAACTTAAACCACAGTGGTTAACTAAGACCACAGCGGTTAACTAAGACCACAGCGGTTAACTAAGACCACAGCGGTTTACTAAGACCACAGCGGTTAACTAAGACTACAGCGGTTAACTAAGACCGCAGCGGTTAACTTAGACCACAGTGGTTAACTTAGACCACAGTGGCTAACTTAAACCACAACGGTTAACTTAAACCACAAAGGTTAACTTAAACCACTGTGGTTAACTTAAACCACAGTGGTTAACTTAGACCACAGTGGCTAACTTAAACCACAACGGTTAACTTAAACCACAGTGGTTAACTTAAACCACAGCGGTTAACTAAGACCACAGTGGCTAACTTAGACCACAACGGTTAACTAAGACCACAGCGGCTAACTAAGACCGCAGCGGTTAATTAAGACCACAGCGGTTAATTAAGACCACAGCGGTTAACTTAGACCACAGCGGTTAACTTTTTTTATTTCTCATCTACCTTACAGATATTTATTACCTAGACCACTGCGACACATAAAACTCTGGAATTTACTTAGACCACTTAAATTTGGCCGACAGGACCACCTTTGTGTTACACTTACCGTATCAATCCAGAGTCAATATTTCTCCTAATAGTAGTAAGATCCATTGGTCTCTTCACCACCACGCTGTATCCAGGTGCCTCTTCATCAGATATTGGACGGAGGAACAGTGACGCGTACTTATGTGCACATAATCTGCAAATAACAGTATAAATGTATGGATGGATGGATGGATAGTTAGTTAGTTACTTATCACGCGCGAAACATCTAGAATAATTATGTAATTATATAAGACTGTGAAATTGTTATATCGTCATCTCTTTCATTTCCCATTGAAAAAACAGAGACAGGTGTATGATACTTTAAAGTTATTTTTATCGGACTTTTGTAACATCCTGTAGCCTTAACTACTAAACCGATTTTGACGAATGAGGTATCATTTTATTCCTAATATCCCAAAGAGTGGCAATACGTCAGCTAGTCGGGGTTTTCTGGATTTTTTAATTAAAAAAATAAGGGTTTTTCATTTTAACTTCTATCTTGTACTATTCCTTCTAGAAGATCTACCTGCTATAAACCAGCATGACACTCTTCTTCCACAATCGATGCTGTTTCTCGGCGTCACTTGCGCTGGGTGATTCTGGCGCGCTCGCCTCCGCTGCACTTTCTGAACCAGAACATGCTAGAAGATATGCAGAAGATATGTAGAAGATACAAAAGTAGAATAAAATATAGGCAAAACTTGAGTAAAAGAGAATCTTCCATAAGGGACAAACTCGGGTTAAACAGAAACCTCTTTAAGAGAAACTCGGATGAGAGAAACCTCTTTAAGCGAAACTCGGTTAAGAGACAAACCTCTTTAAGAGAAACTCGGATTGGAGAGAAACCTCTTTAAGAGAAACTCGGATTGGAGAGAAACCTATTTAAGAGAAACTCGGATAAGAGAGAAACCTATTTAAGAGAAACTCGGATTGGAGAGAAACCTATTTAAGAGAAACTCGGATAAGAGAGAAACCTATTTAAGAGAAACTCGGATTGGAGAGAAACCTCTTTAAGAGAAACTCGGATAAGAGAGAAACCTATTTAAGAGATACTCGGATTGGAGGGAAACCATTTTAAGAGAAACTCGGATAAGATAGAAACGTCTTTAAGAGAAACTCTGTTTAGAGTCTGTGATTCGTAGAAGATATGTAGAAGATGCATAGAAGATAACGCTTTTAAATTTTTTGTGTCACCGACTCGCTTAGCATTTTTATACGAAAATTTGTGATTGGTTTGAAATATTTTAAATTAATTAATATCTTACTTTTTGATTAGTAATTTCTATTGATTTAAGTTGAATTTGGAGAAGAAAATATTGCTTATCTATAGAGAAGATAAATAAATGAAAAATTATAGTTTATGTATATTTTTCTTTAAATTAGTAGTGTTAATTATATACTTACTTCTTGATTCAGATTTCTTCTTTCTTGAATAATCGCGTTTTTTCTTGCCATCTTTTTCTTCTTCTCGGCTTAACTATAAAAAAAAAATTATAAATAAAATTTAAGTCTGAAATATCTGGAGTTGGCACACCGTTAACAAACGTACTCTTTTAACTGACGTGCCAACTTAAGTCCCCAAAATTCTAAAGTCGGGCAAAACTCTCACCTCCATTGGTGTATCGTCATCTGTCTCTGTATGAGTGTCTTCTGTATCTAGAGGACGATTTAATTCTTCTGTCTTCTCTTCTATTAATTCCTCTTTTATCATATCTTTCAAAGGTATTGAGTCCTAGAAGAAAAGTGAGAAGAAATTTGCAAAAAAAAAACATCTTACTAATATTATAAGTGCGAATGTTTAGATGTATGTTAGAAGATATCTCCAGAACTGCTGCATGAATCTTGCTGAAATTTGTCATACATATAGATAGTCTGGAAGAACACATAGGCTGCTTATTAAGTTTTTTTTTTTAATTCCACTCGGATGGAATCGCGAGCGACTGCTTGTCCAATATCATATCGTATAACAGCTTACTTCTGCATCTTCCTCTATTTTAACATCTTCTATCTTCTCTTCTTTGCTTACTTCTGCTTCGTTCTCTACAGGTTGGGTTACTTCGTTATCTTCTGGTACATTCTCTTGTATAGTTTCTTGTGGAGTTTCGATTATTTCTTCTTTCACTGTGGTTTCTAGAAATTAAAAAAGAACAAAGTAGTCCTCTTCCAATTCTCATGTTTATGAATATAATTGGAAGAGGAGATCTTGGCAGGGGAGGGGACACATCCTCAAAGTGTGCGACCCAAATATACAAATGCACATATCTGCAGGGCACGGTCACTTCGCTATTTTGACGAATTTAGGTTCCCATATCCTACTATAACTATCTATCATCTACAATTGCAGATACCTTGCCTACCTAAGAGTGGATGTACAGAAAGAGATTCCCCTATACATTCCCTCCTCCGTCAAATTCACTTTCCCTTCCCACCCTTTCCATCTTACCTGGTACAATTTCTTCTATTGTCTCTTTTTCAGGAGGCAATGGTATTTCTTCAGCTTTTATTTCTTCCACTTGTTCTTCTACTTCTTCTTTTGCTTCTAACATTGTCTCCTCTTGGACTTCATCTACTTTCTCTTCCACTACAGCTTCTGACGGAGTTTCAATGCTGGAAGGAATATTTCAGTTAAGAAGAAGTCTCTTTGGTTCTTTAAAGCAGAATTTCTTAATAATATTATAAATGCGAAAGTAACTCTGTCTGTCTGTCTTACCTTTCTTCTACTTCTTGTGTGGGTACTTCTTCTATTTGAACTTCTTCCACCTCTAAAGTCTTCTCCTCTTCAATCTCTTTCACTGGTTCCGTCTCCGTTTCTTCTGTTTCTGGTTCTTGTATTTCTTCTTTTATCTAGAAAATTATGACAATATTATTTATTTTCTACTAGCTGTAGTCCGCGACTCCGTCTGGGCGTGATTAAAAAAATCTTAATTAGAATCCTGTGTTCTTTCAGAATATGTTCTAAATTTATGCCAATTTTCAGCTTGATTCATTCAGTCTTGAGACACTTTCAAACAAACATATACATCTAAACATTCGTATTTGTAATATTACTAGATGTCGCCCGCGACTCCGTCCGCGCGGGATTAAAAATAGATGTTAGCCGATTATCAGAGCTACTCAATATGCTCACAAAACTTCATGAGAATCGGTCAAGCCGTTTCGGAGGAGTATGGGAACGAAAATTGTGACACGAGAGTTTTATATATAAGATTAAGATTTGATATTCTGAGTTCTAATCTAAATAAATAATAGACAAACTATTATTCATATTAAAGGTCGTAAATTCCAAAATATCTTACTAATATTATAAATGCGAATGTTTAGATGTATGTTAGAAGATATCTCCAGAACAACTCAACAGATCTTGATGACATTTGTCATACATATAGAACATAATCTGGAAGAATACATAGACTTCTAGTTTTTTAATCCCACCCAAAAATAGTCACAGGCGACAGCTAGTTTCTAATAAAACTGAAAAAAAAACAATTTCGATATTGTATTGTTACATACGGTGAAGGAAAACATCGTGATGCTGCACATATCTGACAAACTCAAACATATGTGTCAAGTCTTGCACTGGACCGGCATTCACTATCACATACTCTCACTTAGGGGTGGTGCAGAGTCCCTCAGTGGGGACCTAAATAAGCTGATGATTGTGTTACAAACATACATACCGCATTATCTTCAGGTTCAATGACTTTTATCTCCGGTGTCGGAAACTTCACTTCTGGGAATGCTATTTTCACTTCTTCATCTGCTACTTCTGTTTGATTCTCTTCTATTACTTCTTCTTCTTGCTACAATATTACATATATTAAGTACCTTACCCATAAACGAGAAACTCACCTAAGAGAAAACTCCATAAGCAAAAAACTCAGGTAAAAAGTAACCTTCTAAATCGAGAACAGTCAAATACAAGTGAAAACTCCATAAGTGAAAAACTCAAGAGAAAAAGTTACCTTCATAATTAAAAGTAAGGTAAGAGACCTCTCCCTCTATTTAAGAGAAACTTAGGTAAGAGAGAAACCTCTATTAAAGAGAAACTCTGGTAACATAGAAACCTCTATAAAAGAGAAACTCATGTAAGAGACAAACCTCTGTAAAAGAGAAACTTAGGTAAGAGAGTAAAGTGAGAGAAATATCTCTTGGATTCTTACTTATCCAAGTTTAACTATACATACCGTTTCCTCTTGCTCCACATTTTCTTTTTCCACCGTATCCACGACCATTGGTTCTTCCTGAAAGTTCATACATAAATCATACAAATTGAAACAACCTCAATCTTTCTATATATATAAAAATCAATTGCTGTTCATTAGTCTAGCTAAAACTCGAGAATGGCTGAACAGATTTATCTTATCTTGGTCTTGAAATATTCGTGAAGGTCTAGGGAAGGTTTAAAACGTGAGAAAATTTTGAATAATTGCCGGGAATATATTAAGTTTTTTTTTATTTTATATCTATATATATAAAAGAAAGTGGTGTTAGTTACACTATTTATAACTCAAGAACAGCTTTACTGATATGCCTGAAAATTGTTGAGGAGGTAGCTTAGAGCCAGGAGACGGACATAGGATACTATTTATTCATTTTTTTTCGAATTTATGCCTTGAAGAGCTTTAGATGGATGTGATGTGGATGGATGGGTGTTTGAAGATATCTCGAGAACGCCTGGATTTGGATTAAATTTGGCATTCTTATACAACATAGTCTGAAAGAACACATAGGCTAAACTAATTAAGTTTTTTTATATATCCACGCGGACGGAGTCGCCGGCGAGAGAGTATATAATATTTGTACAAAATATACCTTAATTTCTACTTCTTGTGTGGTTTCTAAATTACTTATTTCTGTAGTTTTTTCCTCTTCCTTTTTATATACAGGCTTTTCTATTCTGTAAATAACAAATAATATCTTACTTATATTATAAATGCGAATGTTTGGATGTTTGTTAGAAGAAATCTCCAAAACGTCAACATAGATCTTGATGAAATTTGTCAAACATATAGAACATAGTCTGGAAGAACACATAGAATATTAATAAAGCTTTTTTTTTATTTCGCGCGGACGGAGTCGCGGGAGACTAGTATAAACAAAAACTACCCTCTTATGAGTCGGGTAAAATGTCGTTTTTTTATTAAGGTAAATTTATATACATTTGTTTAGCGTTTTCATTAATAAAACAGTATATGGAGTCATCCATCCACGTCATATGTTTAAGGGATCGATGAAGTGTGTCAAATTGTGATATCACACTTTGTTCAAGCAATATTATTTTGTTTAACTAATTGTAAATTTGAAGGAAAACGAGGTCGGGGGTTCGAATCCCGCCATTCGACTATTGCAAACCATATCCTAGCACAAACCTACAGCTTAGTTGGAATGGTAGAAGAAATATTAGTAATTTTACAAAAAAAAATCTGCTAATATTTTTATAAGAAAAAAGTTGTAAGGAATCGAAACATGTATGGATGGATAGAAGATATTTCTCCAATGTAACTCACCTAGCTGCAGTTTTATGCATAGACGCGACAGGAGGAATGTGAATGTCTATGTCTCTGAAGGCATACACATCTTCAGCTTTAATTTCTATGTCATCTAAGTCCACAGCTGGGACTGGAGGAGTTAGATCTGGTGACGGGGTGGATGTACCTGCTAAAAATCACATATAAAAACATATTTAAATAAAAAATCAGGGCAATTCGCGGTGTTCCGGTTACGGAAAAAATAAATTTTCTTATTAAAGAGATAAACTACGACTCTTTTTCATATAACCAATTATATTGCAACATAAAATATAGTTTCAAATCTTACTAATATTATAAATGTGAATGTTTAAATGTTATTTTAGACTATTAGTATTAGTAAGAATCATTTAGCGCGAATGATTTACTTTCGTTACAACGTCAAGTATCAGAATGTATCAGAGTTAGAAGGTATCTCCAGAACGGCTGCATTTCGCTGAAATTTGTCATAGATGTATAACATCTGGAAGAACACATAGACTTCAATTTTTTTAATCCGCGATAATTTTAATGCACCATATATTCTCACCTTTTAATTGTTGTTCAATTTGTACCAGCTGACTTTTAATATGTTCGATTGCTGCGTGCTTACTTTCTTGAGGACTGGATCCGCCTTGAGGCTTTTCTAATAACATTGATAATGTCGGAGCACCCGCAGACGGAGACATTGTATCTGTGGTGATATAAAAGCTCCTTATCGATATATTTGTTTATATCAGTATTTCCCAAAGTGTGCGATAACGCCCCCTCGTGGGCTGCAGGTCTTAAGTTGCGGGTTATAGTAAAAGTTTCGTTTAGAATTCTCCGTTAATATACATATATAGATCACAATAATTAATTAATTTAATTTGTAGTTATAATGGTTTTTAAATATGTGAAAATATGGGGGCGCTAAAAAAATATTTATTCCCAAAAGGGGGCAGTAGACAAAATAAGTTTGGGAACCACTGGTTTATATGATAAGGTAGCAAACGAGGTGGCCACTTAAATGACATACGCAGTTGCAGATGCGTTGCCTACCTTCGACCGAAGACGCACAATAAGGGTATATTTTCCTTTCTTATGCGTCCACTCCTCTGTCGAAACCACTTCCCCTTTCCATCCATTTCTCTAAGGAGAAGGGAGGAAGGACTACTTTTAAACGAATTCGTATGTCGCGCTTTAACGCCAAAACTACTGAACAGATTTCAATGAAATTTAGTACACAGGTAGTCTAGAGCCTGGGAAAGGACGGGCCACTTTTTAACCCGAAAAAGGGGTTGTAAGAGGGTTGACAGACTGTTTTTTTAGAGCTAATACCTTGAAAATTCGTTCAAAGTTTGTAAAATAATTTAAAAACCCTTTAATTCCTTAGAATGTCACATTAAATCTGCTTAAGAAATTTTAAGATGTAATTGTATAGAATAAAATATTAAATAGATTTACTATTTAAAAAAAATACTTAACTATAGTAATTTAAAACAAAAAAGGTTACAGCTAAACAAAATAATTAAATAAACATAAAAAGGTAAAAAAAAGTAAAAGCATTTAACAAATTGTCGTTGGACCTCAATGGAATATCATAAAGTAACTCCTAAAAGATTTTGAGTATGTTGTTACGGTGAAGGAAAACATGGTGATGCTGCACATATCTGAGAAACTCAAACATATGTGTCAAGTCTTGCACTGGACCAGCCTTCACTATCACATACTCTCACTTAGGGGAGGTGCAGAGACCCTCAGTGGGGACCTATAACTTGATGATGTACATACCAACAGTATTAGCTGGATGTGACATATGCTGTGGAATCGTCACCACAGGTGATGATTTGAGCAACGACGTTAATAACGGTGATGAAGGTTGAACGGGGGAACCTAAATTAAAAAAAAAACACCAAAAAATTACAAAAAAACACTATCATATTGTAGATTGCTGTCATATTAAGCAAATTTAAATATTGATACATCATCAAACTAACCTCCATACATACATCCATACATATGAGTCATATCAGAAAACAATCTCTTCTCTAGTATATACTCTTTCATACAATACTTTCATCTGTCTGCCTCTCACTTTGTAAATAAAGGTTTCTCACTAAGCAAAGTTTCTCATTTATAAAGGTTTCTCACTAAACAAAGTTTCTCATTAATAAAGCTTTTTCACTTAGCAAAGTTTCTCATATATAAAGGTTCCTCACTAAGCAAAATATCATCGCTTACGAAGGTTTCTCGTTTATCCAGATTCTATTTGCTTATATAAATATCATTAGCAACTTAACTTAAAATAATCGACTTTGTACACAAAAGAAAAAAAAAGCAAATAAATAAAAAAAATGTCAAACTATAACATTACATTTAAATAATTAACTCAAATTTAATAATTATTACTACCAAGTACTACTTTTTACCTTAAGATTAGGTTAAAAACATACTAAATGATTAATATATTCAAATGACAGGTTTAGAACTCGCAACAAGATTTTGAGCCTAAGACTTTAATTTCTAGACTATTGGCACAACATACCTGATCCTGGTGATTGTTGTCCTGGTCTCCATGCTCTTTCAGCACGGTTACGTCTTTCCTCTCTTTCTTTTAATAATGCAAGCCGTCTTGCATTATCTCTCTCTCTCGCACGCTTCTCTGCTTCCGTTGCATTCCATAGTTCATGTACTCGTTCATCCGATGTTGTTGGATCTGATAGCTCTGTTATCTCTTTCTGTTAGAGCAAAAAAAACATAATTAGTAGCCTATGTGTTTCCAGACAATGTTCTATGTATGACAAATTTCAACGAGATCCGTTCAGTCGTTCTTAAGATACTTTCAAACATCCATCCATCTAAACATTTGCATTTATAATAATAGTAAGATTATAAGGTAGCAAACTGCGAAGCGAACATAGCCTATAGACATTTGTAATTGCAGATATATTGCCTAGCATCAATCAACAGAAGAATGGTCGCACGGAAAAGGAAATTTCCCATTTCTATATGTGAAATCCACTTCCCCTTCACACCCTTACTTAAGGGTACGCACCCTACGTAATAATCCCGCCATACAGACCCGCAGGCGACAACTACTCTACGTATCTTACCTGTAAAATAGTTTTTTGAATATGCGATATTTTATTTTAATAAAATTTACCTGCGTTTGTTCGTATTGTTGTGTAAGTTCTGCTATCACTTTATGTATTTCTGCAATACGTTCCTGTGTGAGTCGCTTCAGGATGCTTTCCTGTGGGGTCTCCACCGCACCCTCCGAGCTCCGCTTCTTGCGCTTTGGAGTCTCAACATGCTCAAGTAAGGCTCCATACTGTGCTGCGCAACTGGGGGATAACAAAAAATTTGAGATGAGTACCATAGATTTTTTTTAATTCCATGCACACATAGTTGCGAGCAACGGCCAGTAAGAATTATTAGTTTCGGATTCTTTTCTGAGTGTGATTTTTATAGCTTGTGTTATGTGGTTATAATACTACTTATTACACACAAGGGCTGGAAATTAATTGAATAACATCATTCATCTAAATTGTTTTATTTATTTAGGCTACAGATTACCATGTACTTGACATACACACAAACCCACGTACATATTGACATATAATAACACGATACTAGCTATTTTATACCATACTGCGTAGATTATTTTAAGACAATTCAAAACTGTCGAAATTTCTATTAAAATTTAATTTTTAATTGTGAAGTTGGATTTAAAATATAAACATTTAATTTACCTTTTCTGAGAATACCAATCGGGAGGTCGGTTCGGCTCGCCTACAGTCTTTAATGCGCGTGAAACAGACATCCAGTTTTGATCGCCACTCCTAACAACGGCTGATGCTAGACATAATTGTTCTCGTGTATTCCAAGTGTCTAATGGTACGCGCTTTAATTGCAACCTTTCTTGTAAAGAACTCATAATTATGTTTAGGAAATAACAAATATTTCGTTTTTGTGGCTTTTGTAAACAATTTCAATTGTCATTGACAATGACTTTGACATATTAATTTTTTTTAAATCAAAGAGTAAATTGGAAGTGTAAACTCATAAAGTATAAAAATTCTTTAGGATAAGTAAAGGTTTTATCTCAAGATTTATGTTAACATCTGGCACCCTATAGGATTCCCAGGAAAAAAAAACATCTCACATGTTGCAGAAAACCTATAAAGTATTTTATTTAGCGGTGTAATTGTTGAGTTCGCGATAATTTGACGTCATCATCATCAGCTCACGTCCCCACCAAAGGGCTCGGAGCCTACTTAAGTTAGGGGTGACTATGCCATAGTCAACCACGCTGGCCAAGTGCGGGTTGACTTCAGACATATCTTTGAATTTCTTCTCAGATATGTGCAGGTTGCATCACGATGTTTTCCTTCACCTTAAGGACGTCGAATAAATGTACATATTGTTAGGTTCCTTCGTGCCTATTTTATAATTATATAGTCATTGAGGGCGTAATTCATGTAGTAATGGTATTTGCATTGACTCAAGACTAGTTGCGCAATTGATTAGCTTCCTTAAACTTAATAATTTACTTTTATTTGTATCGAGTTGAAAATACATAATTGTTTTAATCATCCGTAAATTAATCTTAACCTGTTTTATGATTTTAGATTATATTGTTGAATCGTTACTAAATGTTTTACTATTTTAATACGACAACTGAACGAACGTCCGGTTCCGTTGGATTGGTCTATAGAATAAACGTATAAATGTGAAAACGACCACGGAGACGGATTCATTCGTTGAGTAGTCGACAACCGAAAAGCACTCGAAGGTGATAAGTATCGGCAATTGACGTAATCATTCTAAAAACGGATTGATGATCGATGTTGTGGAGCGAGTGATTAAATAAACGAGTGCAAGGAATATTGTTGTTTGAACTTTTGGTCATCCCCAAAAATATGTAAATGGAAAATGGAAAAACATTGGTACATGGCGGGATTCGAACCCAGACCTGAAGATTACAAGTCAAGTGGTAGACCCCTGAGCCACCGACGCACTGTTAATTAACGTGGTACATGTATAAATCTTGAATATTGTATTTAATTTTATACAAAAATAATTCCGTGGTGGGAAGAGGCGACGTTGGGCAAGTTGGTGGTGTTGGCGTGGATATAAAATGTCGCAATATCAAAGAAGATAATGGCGCCAGTAACAGGAAATGCTATATTTCTGGTCTATATTACTCTTAAGGTAATTTATAAAACAGGAAAAATAGCTTTATTTAAGTCTAAAGAATTATCTCAAAACGCTCAACAGATTCTTCAATTTGTCGCATGGTTTTTAAATTTTCCTTTTTTCGTGGTGGATTTGAATTTTCTATATTCCGTAAGGTTTTTGAAACTGTTTTCTTCTGTAAAATTGAATCTTCTTTATTTCGTTGGGGTTTAGAATTTCGTGTTTTTTTAGATTTCATCACAAATTCATCCCAAAGTTGATCTGATAAAGATTTAACAAGACTATTTGAGAATAGATCCAGTGCTTTATTTATGGCTTTCGATTTTATTTCACTTTTCAATTCTAAGTCTTCGTCTGCTTGTTTATTATTTTTAATTGTTGATTTTTCTATATTATTCTTTTCCTTAACAAATCTGCGTTTGGTTGTTGTAGTTTTAATTGATGTAGAGTTTCTTTTATTTTTTTTAAAGTTTGTGTTAAGTATAATCTTTTTAGTTGAGGTTGATTTGACTTTTAACTTTTTCTTTGACTTTGTTTTGTCTTTGGAGTTTGTTGTAATTGATATTTTATTCTTTGACCTCGTTCGAAATGTCGATACCACTGTCGGCATATACTCTTTGACTGTCGAGTTCGTTTGGAATATTAATTTGCTCTGTGTATTCGTTTTAAGAAAGTTTTTCTTCTTATTTTTACCTTTCGTAGATTGTAAATAAGCAGATCTAAAATTACTCATTTTCAATTGTTCCGAAATTGATTCTGAAGATAGATAATTAATGGTACAAGTAATTTTATATACGCAGTTGGTTTGAAGGAAAAATAATATATTATTAGGGTTCCGTACCTCATAGGGAAAAAACGCAACCCTTATAGGATCACTTTGTTGTCCGTCCGTCTGTCTGTCAAGACCCTTTTTCTCAAAAACGCGTGAAGGTATCAAGCCAACCCAATCAAAAGATACATCCGTTTATGTCGCAAATTTTCGACATTCGTATGGGAATCAAAACCTATAGGGTATTTCCTTTGAACTTAAAATTTTGAAATTTGGCACGAAGCAACATCGTAAAACACAGATAAAGGAAAAATTGCGAAAATAGTAAATTTTTAGTTCCATCGTATAAAAAATATTTTTAACAATTTTAATTGCGTAAAAGGCTACTTCCAGACGACCTAGAATCTTGTTTAATTTAAATTATATTTTTACCTTTAGCTCGTGTAATGCTACGGTGGTTGGTGGATCGAAGATTTTTTACTTTTAAATTACTTCTTTGATAATTAGAAATTTCAAAATCATCTAAACCATTCCCTTCAAAGTCGGTACCTCGAAGATCGTTTATTTTTAAACGGGCACCTTTTACTATCGTATTATCATCTAAAAAATATAGTTTGATATACAATAATTCTCAATTAATTTTAAAAGCAATAACTAATACTTACACATAATAAGAATGAAGAATATGGCTCTACTGTATAATATTAAATTAAATTTCCATGTCACGGCCATATTTAACAATATAACGATACGATGAAATGAAATTAACAAGTTCTATTGAATTTAATACACCTATAATGTTTTTAAAAATTAATTAACTACTTAAAATTTTATTAAATTATACTACGTAAGACGATTAGGAATTATAACCTATAATAACCTCGTCGTTGTAATGGATTCGTTATTTTTTTAATATCATAAAGTGGCAAACGAAGCGAAGTGATCGTTGCCCATAGACATACGCAATTGCATATGCCTACCTTTAATCAACAGAGGAGGGGATGCCGAGCAAAGAAAATATTTACCCCTCCCATGCATCTCATCCGGAAAGTCCACGTCCACTTTCCATCCTTTCCTTATAAGAAAAAAGGTGTGTCCAGAAACGTAGTGTTATTTGTCTCGAGCGTACACGCCATAAGTACATGCCGGAGAGAGGGGACGTCAGTCGATGTCAGACCTTTGGACCGGCAACATGCGTCGGTATGTGAAGGAGCCAAATATAACGCAACGAATGCTACAAGGTGGATTAGCGCGTTTAAACAAACTTTTCTGCTTTATAATTTATGGTTTGGACATGTTATTAGGAGGGATGATGATGATATAAGCAAAAAAGTAATGAGATTGAATGTAGTGCTACAAAGGTAGAGGAAGACAAAAAATGTATGGAATGACTGTGTGAAAGAGGATATGCGTAAGAAGGGGGTAGATTCGGATATGACGGCTGATAGAGATGTATGGAGGAGTACATACTGTGCCGACCCTCGATAGGGATAAGGGCAGGTTGATGATGATGATGGTGAATATTAGATGTTGTTAAATTTTATAATTATTGCAGAGTTTCTTATGATTTTTAATTATATAATAAATGTTTAATTCTCTATAGGACTTTTCTATCTAGAAATCCTTTTAATACTATCGTTATTTAGGATTGGGATTAGGACAAAATAATTTGGTTACTTTTCTTAACATTTCGATGAAAATAATACACATTTTCTCTTGAAATTTATATTTTCTTACGTAATTGCGAATCTTTTTTATCAAATTTACACTTTGGATCATCTGAAAATGAGAAAAGCTATTAAATCTGTGGGTACTTAAAAACATTTTATGACTGATTATTAAGAAAAAAGTAAATGTAAAATACAGAAATTGGAATAAATTTATAATAAATTAAGCAATCTTAAGGGACGATAACGATTTTTTTTTATTTAAACGTAAAACAACGAGTTTAAATAAATGAGGGTAGTTTAAAAAATCTTACTAGTATCTCCTTTCTCTCGACATCGTATAAACTTTAAGATTATATCTTCGTCATTTGGATCTTTCTGTTTACCTTTTGTTTTCATTCCAGTTAAAAATGGGGCTGATAAAATGCAGGGTCGACGAGAAACTAGTTCTAATTCTAGAAATAATATTGGCCTTAATAATGTATATTTTAACCTTGCATATGAATATTTTATCAATTAAATACTAAATTTTTTTGTTATATAGCCAAAATTTCATATTGTAGGGTAGTACAAAAAAATATTGTAGTTAATAATTAAAACCGCAGACACATTTAACTTTAACTTACTTAACAGTAGGTATGGATGTAGGTAGAAAAAAATTGTAGGGTAGTCTAAAATTTATCGCAAAATTATAATATGTGGGTACTTTACAAATTGGCTTTACTTACTCTCTTCAGGATGATTACAACTAAACAATCTAAGATGGCAGACGCTTAGAAACGTTCTATAAACGCCCGCTTTGCAGCGAGCACATACCATCACCTCGCGAGCCGGACATTCCGTTGGACAGTCACTATTTTGTGTCTCGTCTGTATTTAAATCTGCTAAAAGTTAAAATTTTAGCATATTAAAGACCATAATGAGAAGGTTTTCCCTTCCGATGCCTCCTCCGGTAAATCCACATCTCCTTCCCATCCTTTTCTTTTAAGGAAAAAGGACTTACAGTGGTAGAGGCAGCTTAAGAATCTTCACACGATGCAATACCACGACCACACAGAAGACACGCCTCAAGTGGAAGAAATTCCGCGTTTCGTTCTCTTTCCCTTCACACCTATTTCCTTATAAGTAAAGGATGGGAAGTGGAGGTGGAAGTGGATTTTCCAGATGAGAAAATATTATCTTTCGGTGCATCCCTTCTTCCGTAGATTAAAGGTTGGCAACGCATCTGCAATTGCGTATGTCTATGGGCAACGATCACCTTACTATTTCAGCGATTTCAGGTGGTCGCTCGTTTGCCACCTTATGATATAAAAAAAAAACAAAATTGATATGTTTCCACTTGACGCCTGTCTTCTGTGTGGTCGTGATATTGCATTGGACGAGGCTACTACTTAGGGTACTTCAAGAAGCGAGCGCATCACATCTCAAAGGCCGACTCCTCTGATCTTGCTGATGTCCATGGTCGAAGAACACCTTGGTGTTCCCGCTGCTCGTTTGCCCCCTCCTCTTTTAAAAAAATCATTCCAAAGATGATGCTGACTCTACCAATGTTTAAAATATTCAAGTACATACAATCACTGCTATCTGTATTTGGTTTCTCTTCTTTTACACTGACTTCATCCAATTCTTCCGTTGAACTGTCTATTTTAGCATTCTGTGGTTCTATCTCTTCGTTTCTATCATTTGCTTCTAGACTTGTGGCATTTGCTTGATCGTATTCTGGTGGTGAATACTGTAAATGTACGCCATCTATATTTGGTTCTTCGTCGTCGATACCTGCTGTTTTTGTTATTTTTGTTTCCTCTTCTGATTCGCTATGTTTTAACCCTTCTTTGTCTATATCTACATTCATAACATTGGCATCGTCTTCATCATCTTCACCATCAACTTCAGCTTCACCATCATCTACAGCTTCACCACCATCTTCAGCTTCACCATCAACTTGTTCTTCACCGTCATTATTTTGGTCATCATTGGGTCCATCTAAGAGAGAGTTTTGCAAACACCTTAATTTAACAAAAAACTAAAACGTAAGACGCTCAGTGGTTGAGCTCTAGTAATCTACAGATCTTAGATCCAGTCATTTAACAATGTGGTGATCTGACTATTATTATAAATGTGAATGTTTAGATGTATGTTTAGATGCTTTTGGAAGGTATCTCCAGAACGGCTGAACGAATCTCGCTGAAATTTGACATAGGTACAGAATATAGTCTGGAAGGTTACAGAAGCTACTATTTTTTTTAATTCCGTGCAGGCGACATTCGCATTCGTAATATTAGTAAGATTGTCTTTAAAATAAAAAAAATTATAACTTACCATCATTAGATCCTGCATCTTCTGCAGGCTGAATTTCGTCCTCTCCATTTAATTTAAAAGTCATCATCTCTTGAGCACCATCACCTAAATTACCCTCGATACTAATATTTATTTCTTCAACTGATTCTGCATTCAATCTCTCACTTCCTTCCTCTGGATTTTCTTCTACGTTATCTTCTTCTGAAATATCTCTTCTCTGTGGTCCAAAATATAATTTACTGTAGTCGATTTTGTTTGATTTATATGGAATTTTATGTCTTCGAGATTTTACTACTAATTTATTCTTTGATGTTTTTGTTGCTGCAGTAATAAATTGCTATTATATTTTATCAGGCGTATTATTTTACAATTTAAAATAAATATGCTGTATATTTTACTAAATATTAAGACTTACCAAATATTATAAGCAATTTTTAAAGAAAACTTACCAATTTTGGGACTTCTTTTTGACCTTTTATTGTCTTTATCACCTGATTGATAAAATTAACGTAAAAAATTATTTACTTCTTTCAACACGAAAAGCAAGGAGACGATGTTTAATATTGTTACATATTACACGATTAATTTTACTTGCCTTGAATTGGAGGTTTCTTACAATTTTCCATTGGCACTAAAGTTGCTTCTAAACCTGTGAAATAATTATCAATTATGTCGGATTAGTCATTAAAACATTTTTAATTCATAATTTTCAAATATTTCTAAACTATACAGGTTATAAAATTGGAATATCCTTATGTAAAATGCTTACGAAAATATATATTTTTTAAAGTGGCCTGGAAATCCGCTTTTGTCCCGGGTAACCTTCGACATGGGTGAACTAATTTGTAAGGATATTTTTTTAATTCCTAGCTAATAAAACCATTAGTAAGATTATAAACAAACGAACACAATATATGTCTGACATTTCAAAGACCACCACTGTAAGTTGTCAAAAATATTTTTCCCGCCATAAATTACTTTAAAAATTAAAAAAATTACCTTCATGACATTTGACATAATCGATTTCG